AAAAAAAAAAAAAAAAAAAAAAAGAGAGAAAGAAGACAACAGGGGTGAAGAGAAAGGAGGCGAGGTAGGGAGAAGGAAGGAGAAGGGTGGTGACAAAGGTGAAGCCAGCCGCCATAGCCGGAGTTGACCCGAGGTGTTGACTGGGGTTGACCGGGTGTTAACTGGAGTTGACCGGGGTTTGACTGGGGGTTTGAATGAAGCGTTGACCAAGGCGTTGACCAAGACCGTTGACTACGAGTTTGACCAAGCTGGAGTCAAGTTTGTTTGTCTCTTCTTTCTGCATCGAGTCTCTTCTGTCCAAGAGTAGGAACTCTGTGGATGAAGGATAGGGCCTTGTTGACCAAACCCACACGGGCTGAGTACGGCTAAAGACTGTGTCTGACGACTCGACTGTCCTGGAGAACACGAACCCTCCCAAGGACCGGTACTGACCGACGGGCTGCTCGGTGTGGCACGGTAGGCCCAAGATCCAAGCTGTGGGCTGCAGAACAGGCCGTCTACGTCTTGAGAAGACCTGCTGATCGCGTCGTCTTGTCTGCGACGTTAAAGAATTCCTGAGGAGTTACGGGGGATCTCCTTAAATGCCTCCTGATCAACAACAGGTCTTGTAGTGACAGCCTTAGAGTAGGTCTAGGCTAGAGACCATAGTTGACAGGATACTGTCCGGATTCTGTAAGTCTTAGATTGAGTCAGTAGGTGTGTCAGTCAGGGGGAGTAGAGTCTAAGTGGTGAGGAGTGGAACCGTTGTCTGGTTGTGCACCAATCACCATGGTTGACACCCGTAGTGGGAAGAGTACGGCCCCCTCCGAGGCCGAGCAGGCCCGGGTTGCTCCCCTTTTGAGAAAGAAGAAAGAGAAGGAGCTCCTGAAGCAGGCGAAGCTAAAGGCTATCGCAGAGGAGTAGGCGGCGAAGAAGAAGAGATTAGAGGAAGAGATGTTAAGATTTCACAAGGAGAAGATGATGCTGTAAGAGCGAGATGAAGAAGAGAGGAGGAAGGCTGCAGAAGAAGAAGCAGCAACAGAGGAGGAGGAAGAAGAAGAAGAGCCCCTCGAAAGAAGACGTGGAGAAGAGAGAGGGGAGACAAGTGGCACGAAAGGGGAAGATGCATGGATGGAGAAGAAGATTACAGAGTGGGTGGCTAACTTATCGTTAGGGGAGGATGAGGAGGCACAGTTGTATGTGCCGCAGGAGGAGAGAGAAGCGTTTGTCAGGCAGTTGGAGACGATAGAAGAACCCCTGGAACGCCAAACAACAGAAGATGAAAAGAAGCTGGAGTGGAAGTTGAGAATGATGAGGGAGAAGAAGAGGAGGAGAGAGGAGGCCAATAGGGTGGCGAAGGAAGTAGAGAAGGTTCAAGCCTGTAGAGAGGAAGTGCAGGCACAAGTTGAGGTCCCCGCCAAACCGGATAAGATTCTGGGGTACCTAGAGATTCTGAGCAAGGCCTGGGTGGAAGAACATCAGGCCGTTAAGGGTCAAGATGTGACCCTGCACACCATCCGATATGGGTTTAGGGAGTTTGCGCGCGACGTGGTGACCCACGTCGGGACTGAAGTCAAGAAACTAAAGGAAGGTGAAGAGAAGTTTTGTGCTGGCGCCATTGAGGGCGCCAAAGTTGTGGTTGCGGCTGAAGCCAAAGCACGTCCCCACAAGGAGCCAGTAAAGCTCAAATTTCCTGACCCGTATGGCGGGAAGAAGGAGGAAAGTTTTGATAACTGGGAGGCTAGTGTTAACAGTTACGTGTATTTACAACACATCTTGTCTGAGGAACAAGTCCTCGTAGCCTTCCAAGCCTTCAAGGATGAAGCAGCCAATTTTGTCAGGTCCCTTGCGCGCACGGCCGGTTGTGAAAAGAACATGGTTGCATACTCTAAGACCACCTCACTTCCCCAGTTCCTCAAACTCCTGAGGGAGTGATTTGCTAATCCCACGAGAGGCGTTAGGGCCTCTGATAAGCTACAAACCATTCACTCGCGACAGTGGAGTGCGAAAGCACTCAAAGTTGTCATGGACGACTTGGTAGCCGTCTCGGACCATGGAGTCATAGAGACTCAGTTGGTCCAGTTATTCTATCGTGCCATGCCAGAGCCCTTGAGAGGGCACTTCTTCGACAAGACCCAGTAGTGGCCTTTCGAAGTTGCCCATGTTTAGGCTAAGGCAAGTGGGCAAGTGGTGAGGCAAGTGGTGAGGCAAGTGGTGAGGCAAGTGGTGGAGTCTGCCCGTGCTGAGTCAGCAGTCCCAGTCCTAGGCAGTCCTGGTCCAGTCGAGCAAGTACCACATGGGACTGTGTGCACTTCGGGCATGGGAAAGGGCCAGACCATCGAGCTGCAGAAGTATAAATCAAGAGGCCAGACCATCAAGCTGCAGAAGTATAAATCAAGAGGCCAGACCATCGAGCTGCAGAAGTATACAACTCATTCCTGCGTGAGCCATGCGGAAGCGCTGCCACAAGCGACTTGTGCAAGGAGGTCTGCAGTGAGCCCGAGGACGAAGTGGGCGAGAGAGGAGTTAGCCATAGCGATAGGGTAGTAGCGGTCATAGCCGCCATTGCTGTAGGTAGAGTGCAGTGTGAGTGTGTGTGTGGGTTCTGAGTATCGTGTGTGGGGTATCCAGGGTGATCCTGTGTATGTGAACAGAGAGTTGTGTGGGCGCTGAGTCGCCATAGCCATCGAAGTGAACTTGAATCTGAACTGTGTTCTCGGTTACCATATCTCTGAGTTTTGAGTGGGCGCTTGTTGCCAGTTTGCTGCACACCTGTTTGCATGCATGAGAAGTGTGAATGAGAGTGAGTCTGATTGCACTAGTGGTTTAAAGGGAAAAACAAAGGAAATTACAAAAAGAAAGGAAATAAAAAAAGAAACGGAGGACAAAATGGAGAGGGAAAGGGAAAAGAGTTTAAAGAACAGTTTCAGTGTGCTTCATGCTGTCTGCTAGTTTTTCGTTTGTTTTGCAGTGCTTTTTTAGTTGATAGATATGTGACAGTATATATAAACGGGTATGAAAGCCCAATACGACCTTCTTCCTCCAAACACATTATCTGGTCATTATCTCTCACCTGAAACTTGCAAAAAATGATGAAATATAGCTATAATGACCCGGTGTTGAGTTGGGGGGAACGTAAATGGTCAGCTGCGCCCAATACAGCGCCGGTGTGCTGAAAGCAGCTTGGCAGCCACCACCAACTATCTCTCTCACCTTCAGGTACACCAGTTGACGCCTTATCTCTTCCTGAATCCTCTCTGATTTTGGTGTCCCTAGTCAGTACTAGCTATGGTGAGTGATTCTCTCAATCTCCAAGCTATGGCATGTGTCATGCGTCCAAGCAATGAACATTCTATGGTGCATGCTACAGTTCACCTCCCAGCTATGGCTCTGGTTCTTGATCTTCCTCTGTTCTTGCAGCTGCTGGAGGAGGCAGCTGAAACGATTCACACTGTGTAACACCCCGTGTCCCGGTACCAGGGTCCTGAACAGTCCCAGATGACCCAGGTCCCAGGCTGTCCCAGTAGGAGGTCGTACGGTCCCCAGGTCAAAGCGTCGTAGGTCTGTAGGCGTAGGTACCGAAACTTCGTAGGTCGGTAGGAGTGCGCCCCGTGCCCGACAAGAAAAATCCAGTCCAGTCCTGTAGGCCCAAGTCCAATTTTGCAGCATGTCCCAGGAAAGTCCGGAAGGTACCGGACCGACAAAATGATTGCAGCAGACAGGCCGCGCCGACCTGTACTGGTATGAAGCAGGCCAAACCAAGTCAAGTCCTATATTTGTTTGCTACAGTGCAGCGGCTCATCACTTGTTCAGTTACGAGATGCGGAAGCGCTGCTGCTCCTTGTGCGTTAAGGCAACTTGAGCACTTCATGAGGGTGCCCGCAGCTAGTGGTTATTCAGTAAAGCGGCCATAGCCGCCGAAGGTTAGACACACCTGAGTGGGGGTACCCAGAGTTACGGTTCAGTGTAGACGTAGAGCGTGAGGCAGAGAGAGAGAGAGAGAGAGAGAGAGAGAGAGAGAGAGAGAGAGAGAGAGAGAGAGAGAGAGAGAGGAGCCATAGTCGCTATCAAGTTGAGATCGGTCCTGAGCGTGTGTGTGAGTGTGGAGGAGCCGCTGAAAACATAAACATTTCTTCTACATCTATCTACATACTACTAAAGGAAAAGCCGGGTCTCGCGTGACGGCCACATGAGACCCGTGCTCCGGCGTTGGCAATCGGCTGGTGGGGGCGGCGACAAACAACAAGCAAAACCCGCGTGGGCCCAGAGCAACCGGACTGAAAAGCCGACGGCCGGCGGCCCACAGCAACTGGACCCGAAAACCGAAGGCCGGACGTTGGGTCGCGAGCCTGCATCGACTGTCGACGGACCGTTCCACGCCCGCCCTGTTCTCACGCCGTGTCGCATCCCGCTTCGTGCAGTTGACGCCCGCTGTTTACTGCATCAGTTTTCCTTGACGCGCATCGCAGATCGATGACAGCGGCGGTTGCCCAATGGATGACAGCAA